CGACATGTTTGTTTTAATCCAGTGACAATCATTTCAGACATGGAAACGAACCTACAGGACTGCATGATAAGAAATGTGTTTTGTTTTTTTTTTTTTGGTCTTCCAAACATTAATTTTTTTCTTAACTGACAAATTAAAGCTGTATTTATTTATTGTGGCACAGGTTGCAATGATCTGCACGGGCTTGCAAAGGCGAACAGAGGCTGCCTGACACCATTTCCTTTCTCTACATCCCGGGGGGAAAAACCGGTATGAATTTCTACATGGGGAAAGCGGGTGCCAATGCCCGGAAAAAGGTATTGTGCAGAGAAGGTGGGTTGTTTTTTTTTTTTTCTTTTCCCCCAAACTTATAACCAAAAGTAAGAGAGATTTCAATTTTTTGAAAAAAAAAAAAAAAAAAAAAAACGCAAAGCTTCCCTAATCCAGAGAAAGCAGAGAGTAACGCCAACCTAAAAGCCAGTGGAAGCAAAGAAAGAAACACTGGACTTTAAAAAAAGAAAAAGAAAAAAGCAGCAATAAAATTGAAAACAGGAAGTCTGCAGAGAAAAATTAAGGAAACCAAACCAAAAGCTGGCTCTTTGCAAAGACCGGTGACATTGGTACACCAAGGTGGGTTGTCAAACTTAAAATATGAAACCGTTTAAGGATGAACGAAAGGGAAGACTTAGTAAATGAAATCATCTCCAACAACAACTTTTCCTATTCAAGTACCCAGGCAGTATTTTGAGTTGGCACTGATTTTTTTTTTCCATGTTCATTATTTTATTTTTTTTTTCTTAAGGTGTCGTAATAAATGGAATCAACGTTAGCCATGAAGAGGAAATTGTAGAGAGTTTGGTATCTCGACATGCTTTCGATGTCCGGAATCTCATTCGAGCTGGGGTTTTCAGTCTTTGGAGGGATGGTTTCCTAGGACATTGTCCGCTAGCATAAGCTGCCTGTCATTCCCCTCTTGCCTTCTAAGCTGCAGGTGACCAACCTAGGCATGCACATGCAAACAAAAATGCACGCTCCCTTGCACACAGACCCCAATCTCCAAGGAGATTCCAGGGGCCTCAAAGCATAATAAAGGACTTCTGTCTTCCAAGCCCAGCCTGCCACACCTGCTTGCAAACCCTTTGTTCTGCAGGCTGACTCCCAACATGACTCAGCAAGGTGAAATCATCCTCCCTGGCCCAATTAACTGTCAAAACGATTCTAAAAGTGCCTTCTACAGGTTGGCCTCCAACTCTCTTTGATGAGGTGCCTAACCAATAAAAAAAAACGTCCAAAGTAAGTACCACGGGGGGGGGGGGGGGGGGGGGATTAGTGTAATCCCTGCACACACAATGCCCCGGCTCCATCCGCGGTGGGGCACAGGTTGCAATGATCTGCACGGGCTTGCAAAGGCGAACAGAGGCTGCCTGACACCATTTCCTTTCTCTACATCCCGGGGGGAAAAACCGGTATGAATTTCTACATGGGGAAAGCGGGTGCCAATGCCCGGAAAAAGGTATTGTGCAGAGAAGGTGGGTTCTTTTTTTTTTTTTCTTTTCCCCCAAACATGGAATAGCCAGGGTCTAACCCTGACATTCCTCCTGGAAAGTCCAACCAAGCCACGGGGACAGTTCTATGTCCTCTCTCCTCTCTCCTCTTCTCTCCACCTTATCAGAGAAGGATGAGCCCCTTACCTGGCCATCCTCTTACCTGGCCATCCTCGCACCTGAGGGGACATGATAAACTGGAAGAACTGCCCAGAGGTGTCCCAGGGGAAGTTCCTCTGCAGGGAGCCTCACAGCCCCGGCCACAGCCTCCCACACATAAGAACATCCTTAGATCAGAGGTCCCCAACCCTTCTGGTGCCAGGGACTGCTTTCATGGACACTTTTTCCACAGACCTAGGGGACTATGGGGGAGAAGGTTTCAGGATGATTCAAAAGCATTTATTACATTTGCTGTGTAGTTTATTTCTATTATTATTATTATTATTATTATTATTTTTTAGACAAGAGTCTCACTCTGTTGCCCAGGCTAGAGTGCCGTGACGTCAGCCTCGCTCACAGCAACCTCCAACTCCTGGGCTCAAGCGATCCTCCTGCCTCAGCCTCCTCCCGAGTAGCTGGGACTACAGGCACGCGCCACCACGCCCGGCTAATTTTTTCTATATATATTAGTTGGCCAATTAATTTCTTTCTATTTTTAGTACAGACGGGGTCTCGCTCATGCTCAGGCTGGTTTCGAACTCCTGACCTCGAGCCTGGATCCTCCAGCCTCGGCATCCCAGAGTGCTAGGATGACAGGCGTGAGCCACCGCGCCCGGACTATTTCTATTATTATTATTATTACACTGTAACATACAGTGAAATAATTACACGACTCATCACAGGTTGGGGCCCCCTGCCTTAGACCTCAGGAAGGTTCTGGAAGGAAAGGCATGAGAACCCTGCCATCCCTGCGTCTTTTCCGATACTAAAGGGTGTTGTTCAGATGGGGTGACTCTCTGGCCCTCCGTGTTATGCTTTAATGGAGGAATCTCTGGAAAAGTGCACCTAATGGCTACTTATCACATTTTATCCTGTTCGGATGGAATGAAAATACCCACTGCATTTCCACTTAAGTACCCTAATGGATGAGGCAAACAAAAAAAAAAAGTTAGCATCAGAGATTGTTGTGGGTAGGCACATGCCCTCCAGGAAAATGCCTTAGGGAAAACACCCCTGAAAAACATTCGTGATGTTAGTTTGATTATTCTTCCACGTGGACAGTTTGAGGGGGAAAATAAACGGGAGGGGGGCCTGCCCAGTTTACCCGAAAATGTGTCCATATTAACAAATTTATCCACACGCTCCGGTCTCTGTGCAAAGAATCCTCTCCCTCCACACAACAAGGGCTCAAAGGATGTGGCACCTGCAGCCACGCAGAAGAGAATTTGGACTTGAAAGTCCTCAATTAACTCAGTTAACCATTTCCCCAGCCCACCCGTACACACCCGCACACCTGCACACATGCAAAGATTCACAGTCCCAGGTAGCGAGGGAAGAGCTTTTTAGTGTTATTAATACTATGCTTTCCCTGTTCATGCAAGTCCATGGTATTTGGAAGAGGGCTGAGACCAGAACGGTGCCACTGCATTCAAAGGAATGGCACGTTCGGTCCCCAGAATAAGGACCCTCTAAAGATGCCCAGGTACCCATCCCTGCAACCTGTGGGCATCTCAGATTGCACAGTAGAAGAGGAAATGAAGGTGGAAGGTGCTAATGACAGGTACAAGTCAGCTCACCTGAACCTCAGGTACTAAGGTGCGACCAGTGCAATCGAGCGACTTTCTAAGTCAGAGAGAGACGCCACCAGGAGCGGGATTTGACCCAACTTGATGGCTTTTAAGAAAGAGGAACGAGCCACGAGCCAAGGAACAGATTTTCTCTACAGCCCCCAGAAGGGACAGAGCCCTGTCGACATGTTTGTTTTAATCCAGTGACAATCATTTCAGACATGGAAACGAACCTACAGGACTGCATGATAAGAAATGTGTTTTGTTTTTTTTTTTTTGGTCTTCCAAACATTAATTTTTTTCTTAACTGACAAATTAAAGCTGTATTTATTTATTGTAGACAACAGGTTGTTTTAAAAAATACGCACCCATTATGGAATGGCTATATCAAGCTAAGGAATGTGTGCATGACCTCACATGATTGTCATTTTTTTTTTTTTTTTTTGAGACAGAGTCTCGCTTTGTTGCCCAGGCTAGAGTGAGTGCCGTGGCGTCAGCCTCGCTCACAGCAACCTCAAACTCCTGGCTCAAGCAATCCTCCTGCCTCAGCCTCCGAAGTAGCTGGCACTACAGGCATTCGCCACCATGCCCGGCTAATTTTTTCTATATGTATTAGTTGGCCAATTAATTTCTTTCTATTTATAGTAGAGACGGGGTCTCGCTCTTGCTCAGGCTGGTTTCGAACTCCTGACCTCGAGCAATCCGCCTGCCTCGGCCTCCCAGAGAGCTAGGATTACAGGCGTGAGCCACCGCACCTGGCCCATTTTTTTTTTTTTGTAGTCCCTTTTAGCAATTCTCAAAAATATACTGTCATCGGCGACAGTCTCCATGTTGTACGATAGGTCTCCTGAACTTCTTCCTCCTGATTCACTGAAATCCTGTGCCCTTTGATTGATTCGTCAACTTATTTCCCCCACTCCCAGCCCCTGGGAACCAACCAACCACCTTTCTTCTCCTCTGTGCTCCTGTGAGTTCAACCTTTTCATATTCCACATATGAGTGACAGCACGTGGTATCTGTCTTTCTGTGCCTGGCTTTTATTACACTCGGCAGAACATCCTTTAACTTCATCCAGGTTGTCACGAATGATAGCTCCTTCCTTCCTTTTCAAGGCTGAAGAGTATTCCATTGTGTGTATATATTAGTACATACCACATTCCTTGTGTACAGCAGCACAACTCGCAATCGCAAAGATGTGGAAACAACCCAAGTGCCCATCAATGCATGAGTGGATTAATACCATGTGGTCTGTGTACGCCATGGAGTTCTACTCAGCCACAAAAAAATACAATGGTGATCCAGCACCTCTTGTGTTATCCTGGGTGGAGCTGGAGCCCATTCTACTAAGGGAAGTATCCCAAGAATGGAAAAGCAAGCACCACATATACGCACCATCAAATTGCTACTAAC